ACATTGATTTTTATATTTATAGATAAATTCGATTTTAAATCAAATTTGATTGATTGGTGATTCGGGGAAAAGTACCTTATTTTGGTTCTCTCTTCCAACCCTCCAAACGGGTTTTATTTTTTTTCCTTTTATCCATCACATCACCGTTTTCAAGATATAGGCCATTGAGAATTTTCGGTGGGACACGCGATATATCAATATCACAATGGGGATATTTAGTGTTTTTTTTTTTAAATTCTTTTTTCTGATTCTAGAACACAAACTAACTCTAATAACACTATTTTGGGGAACATTTGAGTTGCCGTTAATTTCTAATAAAAAATATAAATTCAGCAGGATTTCAGTCGCCGCAGAAAACGCTCCAAATATGACGTCAGTCCCTACAACTAGCAAAAATATACTGCAAATAAGTACGTTGTCAGATTGTCGTTGTTATTGTTGATTTCCAAAATTGCCTCTAGAAACCTCGTTTTTTTCCTTGTATTATATAGTTTTCTGTTATATATTTATTTGGGCTACAGTTATAAAATTAATGTAATTTTTCAATTGTTAGTAGTTTAATTGTAGAACAACAGTTTTTCTAGTGTTGACAAAGGACTTATGCCACGTCATTTTAGTATTAAGGAATCACGACATTCAGTTTGGCAACGTTGCACTGTCTAACGTCAAGTAGTAATGGCTAATAACGAATGAGGAGTTTTGAGGAGTTTTATCATTGTCACTCTTCAGAGCTTAGACAAAGAAAGCTAGAGCTATTGTGAACGATTCTTATTGGTCCGAATGTGTATATACGTCATACAATGGCACCATTCCAGTACGTTTAAATATGTGGGATGAAAACAGCATTTTTGAAAATTATTTAAAAGAAAATTAGGACATTTTAAACCCAACTGGAAGCAAGGGTATTTTTATTTTGGTTAATACAACTGATTAAAAATAATAAAACAATTCAAATTCAAATATGGTGAATGTCCCCATTCAGCCTAACACAATCAGTCAAACATTCATATTTCAGCACGCACGCACGCAGGGAAAAGGGGGGAAAACAAAACATCAATGTCATACTTATTTCAGCCATTACACATATTAGGCAATTCCATCCATCTGTCAAAAAGGAAAATTCAATGTGGCGTGGCGGCCAAGCAAGTTTGTTTTGAATATGTTTTAATGCGCATTTTAAATTATTTTGCATACAGTTTTGCTTACAACTTTGATTTTCAATATTTTATGAAATATTTGTTGACTAGGTACCTAAACTATTAATTCGGGCAGAAACTAGATATTTTTTTGTGTATTTTGGCCCATGTGTGGCCGCCACGTCATCTTGAATGTCACGTGGTTTGAATCGCCTAATACACACAACAAAAATTCTCAACTAATCCATATGTCATTACTGCAACGACCATCTACCCATCTTACACAAAAATTAATATATAATCATCGCAAAGTCATATACCTACAGAATTCTGCCCCTTTTCTTCAGGGTACCCACTAAACAAGTTCTGTTCGTAAGTTAACAATATTTTCGTGATATTGTTCCCATTCACCTTAATTGGCTATGGATCTTTATGTTCTATTCACAGCTCAATCATTTGTTCAGTAGCTACTATTTCCCAATAAATATCACATTTTATAGATGCAGTTCTTCTGTAAACTAGCTAGTTATCATTGTTATCTGAGCTATACCAATATAAGTTATCTACAATCATCTTCAGATTCTGAGCTCACATTCACATTGTAAGGTTTCAACTTGTCCAAGGAAACGATTCCCTTGTATTTCTTCTGAAACCTTGAAAACCTTCTCAAGTCTTCGATTACAAATCTATGATGATCCAGCTCACTTGTTATCACATAGGGACCTGAATATTATGGCAACAACTTTTTGCTTTGTTCCATATTAGTAGCCAGTATTATTCTGGCTAACACACTGTCACCAGTCTTATACTTTTTCTCAGACAAGCGTCCAGCATCATATTGAGCTTTGTTTTTGCTCTGCTTCGCTTAGGTCAATTTTTTCACATACTCACTTGTTTTCTGCAAAGTCTGATCATGCGAAAATTCTACTGCAACATCGTTGGCCAATATCGAATTTGCAACACTTCTCGGTGCATATACGAACAGCAGTTCGTAGGGAGATTTTCGTGTAGACGAATGTACACTTTTGCTTAAACCCCATCTCACTCGCTGAACTTGTTCATCCCATTTGTTTTCTTCGTCTATTGATGAAGACAGTGAGGCCAATATGGTCCTGTTGTACCGCTCGACCTGTCCATTCGCTCTAGGCGTAGCAGTAGCAGTAGCATTTAGTACATGTTTGATATTTAAATTCGAGCAATACTCCTTAAATTTCTTGACTGTATAGCAGAAGCCTCCATCGCTAATTATCCTTCCCGGTACTCCAAAGATTGCTACTACTTCATCTAGAAAATTCATTAGTGGCCAAATTTCGTTGGTTGGACTGCCTTCATGAATACAAACTTTGTGAATGCCTCAACAATAACAATGAGGTACCTACATATTTTTTCTTTTCAACTTTACAAACGGCCCCAGATGGTCAACGTGAACAGTATCAAATGAGTCTGAGACTTTCTCAATAGGGTGGAGGAACCCAGGCTGACGTCCGCCAGGTTTTTTATTGTACAGACATTCCAAATAACACGTGATATATTTCTTTATATATCTCCGCATTCCTGGCAACCAGTACGTCTTGGAAATAGTCGAAAACGTTTTATCTAGAGCCATATGTTCTTCCCCGTCATGAAAATGCATTAAAATTTGCCTGCCGATCTTGGAACGAACATTTATTACCGTTTCCTGTTTGTCTATAAAGACGAATATTAATCTTGCAATATTCTCCATGGATTTTCCGTTCTTCGAAGTCCACAGAATTTCTTCCCAAAACTTCCAAAATGAATTTACATCTATCGTCCGTGAGTTACGCTGAGAGTACCCAGTCTTCAAGTTCTATGTTAACAAGGTTGGCAGCAATTTGTGATCCACCTCTCTCAAAAAAAGGAATAGGACTTCTACTTAAAGCATCAACATGCGCCATTTTTGTACCAGAGCGATAATCCACTTGAATAGACAACCACCATCTCCCAACTCTAGGAATAAGATCTCGCTTGCACAATGTCGTCCCTATAGCATTGCAATCAGTAATTACCTAAAGTTCTTCAAAGTACATACGACTGCAAGGGTTTCGAGCTCATAACAGTGGTACCGTTGTTCGTTTTTTGTGGTTTTTCTCGGAAAAATACATACAGGGAATAAGTGAACCAGAACGTTGCCCCTGTAATAATATTCCACCTATGCCCCACTTCGAATAAGCATCACAGTGGATCGCTGTTGACAGGTCTGGATTATGTATTGCTAGGATAGGCCTTGTAACTAACCTTGCTTTAAGAATATCAAAAGACTCTTGTTGATCACTACCCCAGGCGAATTCTACTCCTTTTTTTGTCAAAGAAGTGAGAGGTCTGGCTATGATGGCGAAGTTCTTAATGTATTTTCGAAAATATCTAGATAAACCTAGGAATTGCCTGACCGTGCGTACATCTGTAGGAATGGGGAACTTGGATACAGCATCTGTATTCCGTTTTCCCGGTTTAATATCATCCTTGCTAATTTCGTGGCCCAAATATTCGATCTTGGGCATGAAAAAGTGGCATTTTGATAACCTCAACGTAAGACGTGCATCGGGCAATGTTTTCAGGACGTCCCTGAGGTTATTGATACCGAGTTCAAAGCTATTTAAAGGAAGAAGAATGTCGTCCATGTATGCCAATGCTTTCCTATACCGCATGTTTCCCAATACTTTATTTATAGTTCTCTGGAATAAAGCTGGCCCATTTGCAACGCCGAATGGTATTCGAACGTACTCGAAATGACCGTCAGGCGTCACAAAGGCAGTTTTTTTGATAGAATCTGGGTCCACCTCTATCTGGTGGTATCCACTAGCTAAATCCAAACTTTTAAACGAACAGTCTTTGAGTTTCTCCAAGAAATCATCAACTCGTGGTAATGGTCTTTGATAGTTTTGGCATTTAATGCGTGATAATCGATACACATTTGTTGCTCTCCATTACTTTTCTTCGCTAAGAGGAATGGACTCGCATACGGGGACTCAGACTCACGTATTATATCACTCTCAAGCAGTTCATTCACAATGTCTCTCATAACTTTCCTTTCAGCGTGAGATAAACGATAAGGTCTATAGGCAATTGGTAAGTTTAATAGTCATTTTCAAAACGTCACTTCGTCCTAAGTCTTTCGTACTCCATGCAAAACAATAATGAAATTCGTTCAATAATTTCCACAATGAGTCTATCTGTTCCGAAGTTAAATGATCAGATCAAGATATGTCACTAACAGTGAAAATATTTTATCTACAAGCGTGCGATAACTAAGGTATATTACATGATTTTGCGTGCGGTAAGTACCATATTACCGCACGGCGTGCGGTAATATTATTACCGCACGCTCTACCTACATAGGTACGTACCTTCAATTACCTACCAGAGATAAATTACTTACCTATCACCTAAATTTTACTTGTCCACTGTCAAAGGTGACAGGCGCAATTTTATTTTCTATAATTTTTTAACTTCTTTCCGATATTTTGTTACCGCACGCTTGTAGATAAAATACTGTATATAATACGTATGGGAAAAAGGTTATTACCGCCCTTAGAGATTGCAAACCTCGCCTCACCGGCTCGGTTTGCAAATTTCTCTCGCGTGCGATAATAACCTAGTTACCACACTTATTATATAATATACTATTGTTTGTTTGTTGAAAGGGTCATATGACCAGCATGGAATTTTTTTTGCGCTCCGATTTTTTCAAAACAAGCAACTAACCTTGAAATTTTGTCTTTACTGACCTTGGAACCTTTCTGAAAGAAGTTCTTTATCGTCAGAATTCCAACTTGACAATTTGTGATACATTCGTCAATGTAGCATGCGTTTCCTGAAATCGCCCTCAGTCCTCCTGGTACGTAGTTACACATTGTCGGTGGTGGCTCCTCGTGACACCACCTCAATGACTGCCACTGTTTTTTTTGCACTGCATCGTGCCCCAAAATGAATTATCCTGGTCGGAAGATCTAGAATGTTGGGAACATTGTCATCTCTTGGATGAATGTGAACATTCTTTCCTGATACGATTACTAGAATTGTTGATTGATTCAACAAGCTTTGTCCCACAATGACCGGTATTGACTGAATATGATCAGGTACTACGATGAAATCCACGTCGGCTTCTACCTGATCAATTTTCAGAGTAGTTTTTCCTTCTCCAATAGCTAATATGACAACTTTGCCTCCTTTGCCAATTGCTCTCTGACAAGAACAGACCCATAACCAGTATCAACATATGCACGCCACGGCATATCGTTCAGCACACAGGCGAAAAAATACAATTCATTTGTGGAAACTGTTCTTACCAAATTATTTTTGACTTTCGGACAGTCTGAAGCAAAATGTCCTTCTTCACGACAGTTAATAGCATTTAATGTGTAATCTGTCATTATACTTTTGGCCGTTTTTGTAGTGATTCATCTCGTCGACGATTCTGAAAATCAGGTTTGTGGAAACGTTTTCCTAAACCCGATCTCGAAAGGCTAGATGAGAACTTATGAGTTTGTGAATGAGTAGCCCTTTCGGAAAAATGCATTCTCTCACTCTGTTACGGATTATTTTTGAGGCCATATTCCTAATAATTAATTACATTTTCATGATTATTTTCGCGGTCAAATATATTACCTTTGGTGTAATCATTTGGTCTTGGGTTTATTTCCGTGACATCCATCTAAGAAATCGCTTAGTGAATACATTCTTTTAAGTATTTTGTGTCCTCATTGATTCAATAGTAGATAGAAATACTTAATTTTAGAAACTTCGATTGTTTGTTTACCTTTTCAAATTTGTAACATAACCTCCCCAGTCCGAGCGATTAATGAGTTTTCATTTGGCTTTTTCATGTTCTTGGGTTGCATTCGGTGGACAGTAAAATTACACTGGTGCGTTTAACGGTTTGGAGTAGAACGGTTCTGACTCTGACCGAAATACTCGGGTTGTTGTTCGGCATTGATCTGGGTTGAACTGGTCGAGTACCTAGGGGTCTTAACGTATGTCAAGCGTTAGTTTTCATAGAAACTCATTTTGCAATTCTCGAATTTCTAGATTGGACTTTCTTTTCATGGCTGATTTCCGGTGAAGCAAGTGGCTTGCACGAACCAATTTTTTTGGAAATATTTTTGGTACCCCTTTGGGGATTATTTTGAGCCCTTGTACACTCAGTGAGTCGGAATTTGTTTTGTGAATTTCAATCGACTCTTACCTTCGGGGATTATTGAGTATTTTCACCGGGAAGCTTCATCGAACATCGAAGTTGGTAAGTCTCCATGCTTATGGGCAGGTCGAACATAATTTTGATCTCCGTATTTTATTAGTATTAGAGCTTTTCGCTCTTTCACTGCAGTCTACAAGCTCGCAGAGACCTTTCGGTTGTGGTCAGCAAATTGGTGGACTTGTGATTTTGGAAACCCTCATGGAATAGAGGTAATTATGCTTTCCCGTTTTTTTTTCCTCTCCTTCAATTTTTCTCATCCTGGAGGCTGTAGCTTTAAATCATAAACATAACAAGTGCCATTTTTGGTTATCTTTATTAAAATGCTCGATATATAATTCAGTTTTAATATACCTATGTGGGGTGAGTACAGAGCACCTATGATTTAATATCATTATCACATATTATCAGCTGAGGAAAGCCCTATTTTCTTTAAAAGAATACAGTTAGCAATCTTATGGTAATTTGGGGTTTTTCTTATTTAGGGTTTTTAGGTTGGTTACCCACTTTAGTCAGCTTCAATAGCTTGGGACCTGTACCGGTCATTAGAAACAGTGGCATTGGATAACTGCCTATAGTGACTGACAGTGGTGGTTGGGTACGTTGCCGTTTCATCACCTTAACCTACAGGGTGCATTACTGGATCAATAAGTGGCTATACAGCTAAGTTTAGACATAGTTTTCTTACAGTTTTATTGTTATCTTTACAATAACATATTATATTTTGGTGGTATAATTGGATACCCTAACAATTGCAAAGCACAAAGGTCGACCTTATGGCTACGAATTTAAATCCTTGTGGACATACACTTGGCCAAACATAAAACTGGTACGCATTTTCCTATTGTGTTGTATTGTGTAAATCGACCTTTTTTATCACCTCAACAATGACAAAAATAGTCAAGTCAATGTCATATTTAAACCAATCATAACCAATGAACTATAACCAAAAACTGGAATGCTAACACATAAGGACGAACTTGAAGCCTAGTGCGGCTGCTGCGGAGGGGATACCTGTTTTTATCGCACTCATTATGTTAAATGGCGAAAATTGCTTCCAACACGTATTCCAATTGATGAAACCTGTGAAGGGAAATATGACAAAACTTTTGAAAACGTCATATGTCAGCGAGCAACAGAAAAAAACAACATTCCCCCTTGTGGCATCTGTCTTTCATGGTTTCATTTTTTTTGGCAGATATGGCAATGTGTGCGCATTCCAGTTTTTGACTATAGTTCATTGGTGTGCGCATTCCAGTTTTTAGCTATAGTTCATTGATCATAACATAAAAACAGGTTTGACGTTGACAAAAACTGTCGGACCTAAGTTTTTCAGAACAGACTTTTTGTTGTTAAGCCTGACCCACACTAGTTAATTTTAAAAATATATATTGCCTGTACCAGTTTTATGTTTGGCCAAGTGTAAAGTGCGTTTTTTTTTTAAAGATAATTCCCCAAGTCAAAAATTTAGTAACTATGTTGGCAACACAAGCCTTTTCTACATAAAAAATTTGAAAGCATTGACAATTTTCCATTGTATTGCCAACATAATGTCACTTTGACTTTTATCTTTAAAAAAAAAACGCACTTTACATAAGCAAAATACAGGTTAGGTTGCGTACATAATAGCCATTGTTAGCATTGGGGTATTTCTTCTCACAGTTAAAGTTTATAGCTAAGCTACGTCTATTGCCAATTGTCTCTTTTCCTGTTAAGGAGAATTACTATTTAATAACTTTTCATAAATTACTGAATTTTCAGTATATTCAACCTTTAAACTCTTAACTAATTTTTTAAAATTCATGGTTGGTAGATACTTACCTACATACCTGCATACCTAAACGTACTTTTATAAAAAAAATTATATTAATTTACATAAGGATTGTTATACCTAACAATAACACAGTAAAGTGTTTAAATTGATTTATCCACAATCATCAAATAATGGCAGTTTTATTCACTCATATGAAGCGTCTAAAGTGATACTTTATCCACTAGTGGAATAATGAAATCAAGAAATACGAAATTTTTATTTTATTTATTGATATTAACATAAACATTTATATTAATAGATACTCCGTTGTCTGATTTGTCTCCTATAACTTCGTTATTGTTGGTAAAAAGGTGATAATTTCCATCAGCTTGGGAACGCACGTTTATGGGTGTTTTGGCAGAATTACCAGGAACAGGAATATAAGGTGTCTCCTCTTGTAAGGGACATTTTCCCCTTGAATTTTGTTTGCAATACTAAGCTTATTGGAAATGGAATCCTCGATATAACTTTCAGCAACAGAGAAGCTCTGATTCTGGATAAAACGTTGTATTACATTCGTGTTTTAGTTGCATTTTATCCACTTAAGAAAATTAAACGCTCGAACTTCGTTCTCGCGTTTAAACATTCTTGCGTGGATAAAATGCTTCCTAAAACACTTATACAATAAATCACTATTTTTCGTTATTGTGTTTTATTTGCTTGAAGTGACAACCGGGTAATTGCATTTCAGTAATCATTCTTTTTCAAGTTTTAAGGAAAAACTTGATGGCGCCCAGGTAATCAGCAAGCCAAAATCAAGAACCAAACCTGGGTATTTTTAAAGAGCTAGTCGGAGCATTCGGTCGCTTTTCGATATTAAGGTCAAATCGAAGAATAAGTAGACCTTGAGAAAGGAATACTAACAACTCAAACTACGTTGTGGTCTCAGCAGCGAAAAATATTCACCATGTAGCTCATCCGAAGACTTGTACCTGCGAGCCTGAATGGAGGTATCAGTTATTCCTTCGATAAGACAGGAGACCGCTTTCTGTCCAGTGATTTGACAAGCACCCAACAAGTCCATTTTGTCTAAATAATATTTATCCCAAGTTTCGTTGGAATGCTTAATTATGTGTTAATGTGAAACTGTCATCAATATGTCTGACCGTCCTTGGTCGGAAGATGATACTTTCCAAGGAAGGAAACTTTGCCATAACACCCAAAGAAGTTCCTAAGGAAGTAATAATCGCTAATTTAGAGTCTGCCATCAGGAGATTGCCCGAAGAGCAGACCGACGAAATACGGACGGAATGTTCACAGATTTTGAGGAAAGCAAAACCTCAAAAATCCAACAATACAAGGAAGGAAGCCCGTGCCATCAAAGAGCTTAACAGAGACGAGAACATTCCAATATTAGCCGCAGACAAAGAAAACGCGACTATAGTTATAAACAAAACTGACTATAACAGAAAGATGGCCGAACTTTTAGAACCCTAAACTTACAAAAAGCTGAAAAGAAATCCAACACAATCCGCAATCAAAAAAGTAAACTACCTGATTAAGATTTCTTCTTTGGAGAAACCAATAAAGAGGAGCATACGCCGAAGTGAAACCTCAATACCTAAAATCCATAAGAAAGATGTAACTCTTCGTAACATTGTCAGTACCATAGACTCATCGACATACACCCACGCAAAACATCTGGCCACGATCTTGCAAACGCACATCGGACTAACTGATTCGTATACAAAGGACTCCACTCACTTCATAGAGAAGATCAGACACTTCGAACTGGACGAAAACGATATACTAGTAAGCTTTGTTGTTGTCTCCCTGTCCACCAAAGTACCACTGTGTGAAGCAATGAGTGAGGTCGAAGATATATTTCCCAAAGACATCACTGACCTGTTCAAGATTTACCTTACGACATCGTATTTCACATTCAACAACGAAATATATGAACAGATCGACGGATTATCAATGGGAAGTCCGCTATCACCAATAATCGGGAATTTTTTTATGGAAAAACTAGAAAAGAAAGCCTTGGACAGCGCACGTTTAAAACCAAAAGCCTGGTATCGATATGTGGATGACACTTTTGTGGTTTGGCCCTATGGTAGGCATAGCCTGAAAGATTTCCTCGCTCATATTAACAGCATACACCCCAGTATCCAATTTACCACGGAACTAGAGGACAACGAAAAACTGGCTTTTCTCGATGTCCTAGTCACGAGAAAACAGAGGCAACTACGACATACTGTCTACAGAAAACCTACACACACGAATCGTTACCTACATAACAGTTCCAACCATGATCCATGCCAACGGAGAGGAGTAATAAAAACTTTGGTAGAGAGAGCGAGAAAAATCTGCAAGCCAGAACACCTAGACGAGGAACTAAGTCACCTTAAAGGCGCTCTTATATC